GCCTTTTAAGGCCCGCAACAGCCAGAGACACATCTCGCCACGCAGGAGCTCCGTATCCCGCCCAAGGCAAGACAGAGACCGAGTTTGGACCGCCCCAACGGGTTGGTCCATCACACCACTTCGGTCATGGGACTTAGAAATTTTCCCATTATGGCCCTCTTGGACTTGGCGCATTTTTGGCCCGAGATGCATGACCCAACCGGGGTGCACTCGAACTTTAACTTTTTTGGCCCGAGATGCATGACCCAACCGGGGTGCACTCGAACTTTAACTTTTTTGGCCTGAGATGCATGACACAACCGGGGTGCACTCGAACTTTAACTTTTTTGGCCCGAGACGCGTGACCAAACCGGTATGCGGGGCCAAACCAGGACCGCCCAAACGGGATTGGTCCATCACACCACTCTGGCCATTTGGAAGGAATCCGACAGGAATCCCACTCCCGCCAGAGCATGGACTACCCTAACGGGTCCGGTCCAATACAGGCATGACCAAACCGGCATGCAGGGCCAAACCTGGCCAAAGTAGACCACCCTAACGGGACCGGTCTATCGCACTCATCTGAATCGCGGGAGCACACCTTCCGCCCGGAGGCACCATTCACAAGCCTTTGAGGACCACCCCAACGGGTTCGGTCCAACAGGGACATATCAGACCAACGTATGGACCGGCCCAACCAGACTGGTCCATCGCATCATTTTGGTCGTCCCATATCTGACATGGAGCACCAATCCTGCCCAGAGGCCATACCTAAGGACCTCTTACGGACCGCCCAACCGGGACCGGTCCATCATACTAGGAAGGGGACAAACTGTCCTTGCGAAAGCAACAGTGCCTTCCATACTCACCGCTGAATTACTAAGCTGGACACTGTGGACATCTCTGGGAACCGTCGCCCCAGATCCACAAGACCAGACCAATCCTACCGGATTATGCGGACCGTTGACTAGGACCCGTGTGTGCAGAATCTGCCCTGTGGACAAGCCTAGTCGGAATAAGTATTTTTGTCTAGTTTTTTACCAGACCTGGTTTTTCTAGACTTATTAACCAAAGAAATTGATGTTCTCATTTAGCCCACTAACCAAAGGAATTGGCTTTGGGATCTCTTACTTATGATCTTACTTTAATTCTCACCAATTGTGATGTTACTTTAATGAGCCTTATAAACTTTATTTTTTTACTTCATCGACCGAAGAAGCCTCATCAACCACCACACTGGAACCTCCAACACACAAAGTGCCCTCCAGATTTCGGCCGTTCGGTGCATGCACCGCGGGTCTGGATACAGCGGCCCTACCGGGCAAGAGACAAAGCGGCATCCGGCCCTACCGGGTATCGGATCCTGGCACCCTACCGGGTTGGCCAGGGGCAGAGTCGGAAGGTGTTCGCAGGAGCTCACACTCCCGCCCAGAGGCATGTCAGAGACCGCTCACACGAGTTGGTTGACACCTCTAGTGGCTTGCTCTGTCGCCCGCACGCGTATGGCTACGCCATCCGTGCCGCTCATATACGCTGATAACTCAGCGTATACTTTGTCTACGCTGACCAATCAGCGTTCGCTATGCACTTTGGAGGTGTGGCCCAGCGCTTACGAGCGATCCCATGCTTTGCGGTACCAGCTGTGATTCAGCTGCTGCATGCCGCGGCATTATCACGATTTCCACCGAGCTCGCTGGCAGCCACTTTTCACCACAGCTTTTCCGCATTGGTTTTTCTGTGCTGTTTTTGTGGGTTGCTTTATTGATTCTCAATAAAGGAGAGATATTTGCTCCCTTTTTGCTCTTTGCTTCTGTGTCATATCTGACAGTAGAAATTTGCCTAATATTCATAAATTTTCTACAGTTACTAACGTGCGGGCAGCGTTTCGAATTCGTTCTGACGGCGAACCGTCCGCGGCCAGATGTCTTGCGTCGGAATGTCGCAAATGTTAATTGTCTCAAACCAGTATGTCCCAAAGCGAAATGTCCCAGCGACTAGATGTCCCCGGCGAAATGTCTTTGCGGCGAAAAGTCGCGCGTCGCATTTGGCTGCGGCGAAATGTCACACCCCCAAATGTCCGGGTGCGGTGAGAAACAACCTTTACTTCACGCTCAAAATTTTTTAAGACGTTCTGCCATCACAGTAATATTAAGCACAATACTGGCAATTGACACATAAAAAGTTTCAACGTTTGTGGCAATAAAGAGCATTTCGGTTGAGGCATTTCGAAAAAATGACTGTGAAAAAACAGAAAATATAGCACAATCCATTTCAGTTTTGGGTTTTCGAATTCTTCACCGAATCTTTTGATTTTTGTTTTCACCAGTAGTTTACATAATGGCTAACTACTTACTAAGAAATTAATTTAATGATATATTTTTTGTTGCATAAATGCACAAATTTTTTACATTACTTCAAGTGACACAGAGGTGCTTCATTAACCAGTAAAGTTGAAATCAGCGCATATTGACCAAAATATGAGACTTATACCACCTTGTAGTATAAAATCTGTAGTATTTGGATAAATTTTTTATTTTCCGGTAAGTATTATTAATTTTGTGTAATAATCATCCAAAGTAAGTATGGGAGAACGTTCGGTGACGTCTACGCGCGCACATCAAAGATGCCGCCCATCGCGCACCTGATATACGGATCTTTACTCCGATCTTGAGCGCTGGCCTGTCTTTACAGCAGTTACGTTAACGATAAAAGAAAAATTTTTATTCGCTCTAATTTTCGATTTACATAGAGCGCCGACGGAATACTATTATTTTCGTAAGTTTTTAAATCTAGAAACTTTGAATTGCAATTTTTCTGGTTCGCAGAACCAGAATCAAAAATTATGCCGTTCAGTGCTCAGACGATATAGCTGACTTCACTTCAGCTCGCACTGAATCCGCGGATATGATCTGCCAACTGATAACCAGGCGATGCAGCATATCCGCGATCAGCATTTGAGAAGATCCGTATCTCAGGTACGCGATGGGCGGCATCTTTGATGTGCGCGCGTAGACGTCACCGAACGTTCTCCCATACTTACTTTGGATGATTATTACACAAAATTAATAATACTTACCGGAAAATAAAAAATTTATCTAAATACTACAGATTTTATACTACAAGGTGGTATAAGTCTCATATTTTGGTCAATATGCGCTGATTTCAACTTTACTGGTAAGATCTGCAGCACAAATACTCGTATGTACAGAGTACTTCTACAGAGTTGCTGCCGCCGTTTTTATTGTTTCTTATGTTTATCGCTGCTGGATAGTCTGAATTACAGCTTTATAATAGTAGTTTAGTTTATTTTTTAATAGTAGTAGTTTATTTCATAATAGTATTACTTTTTTAATAGTAGTTCATTTATATCCATGTACGCTGTAGACTCGCTCGCATGCTTCAGTTAATAATATTGTTATGATTTTATTACAGAGACTTTGGTCATCACCGGCTAGGTTCCGAGCCTTCTTATTCATATTCAGAATTTCAGTATTCAGATCCAGAATTCCAGTAATCAGAATCAGAGTTTCAGCATTCAGACTCAGACTTTTAGCATTCAAAATCAGAATCAGATTCAGACTTTCAGCGCAGGCCTTATTAGAAATGTAGACAAACGCTAATAGTCGCGCTACCAGTCCACAAGTCGCTCTAGCCGACAGTACTGCGCGGTGCACGGGAACAAAAGCCATTACACTTTGAAGTGTATTTACTGCCACCGGGAGCTATGGCTACGTTTACATGGAACTGAAAAAGCGCCTGGGATCCTGGCGAATGTCGCATTAGCTTTTTCTCGCCGCGTATTGCGTCAACTGCGCTAATCTTCTTACAACGGCACCGTCGTGCACGTATCGGAATACGCGCTCTTTACCAATGGCGATACACACAATCATTATTATTAAATTCTTATTGATGATTATATTATTATTATTTTTATTATTATTATTGAATTATTATCATCATCTCATGTATGAATTATTATTGTATTATAATTATTTTATTATTGTATGGATTATTAAGCATTGCATTGTTATCATCATCTCAGATTCTCAGGTATGCGATAACAACTGTTTTGACCGTTTTTTTGACAACTGTTTTGACCAAAAGATAAGTTTCCAGATTACGTCATCTGCTAATGAAACAAGGTGTGGTATGGTAAGCACTTTACAGACCTTGGCCTTCGAAGTGGAATTGCTGTTCCGATTTATGATGCCGTTGCACAGTCATCAACTGGCATCCAAAAACACGGTAACTGCCGATTTTGCGTATTTTGCTATTTACAGTCCGTTTATGACCTTTGAACGGCAAAGTCAAAAGGCTAGCAGTATTTCCTGCCTAAGGAATTTTTGCATGTTCAAAACACGGGCGAAATTTGCACGACAACAACCCTTGCAGTATCAAAGTAAACAAACAATTTGAAAAAGGTTGAAGCGTTGCTTATGAAACTGGCATGACGCGATGGCAACGTTGCAGGCATCGCCAAAACAATCCTAGGAAGCCGCACGCCGCAGCATTCGTAGCGGAAATGAAGAAAAAAAGCATGACTATTTGCGGGATGATTTCATTTTTTTCTGCCCTTCATTTCACTTTTTCTGCTTTTAAAACCATGGAGGCATGGAGAGTTTAAATTAACAGTAATGGTTGAAGTGCTTTTTGAAAGGACGTTGGAGAAACGCTCTACTGTACAGTACCAGTTTTTCGAGCACGGGATAAGAGTTGCGAGGAAATTCAGCGTATGTGCAAGAGACGTTCAGCACTGTAGAAGCCGGAAGGCTTGTTATGGAGTGTTCAACTCTACTACTTGCTGAAGTGACGTGAGGTGTTTTACAATATCTGCACAAAAAGATACTCTGTCTACGTTGATAAAACCGGATACGGGTTTTGTTATTCGAGTTGGCGGTATCGGTGGTTCATTTTTCCATAATCGCAAAGCCAACCTACCGTAGGGAGGATTACATGGAAACAGCACTGTGGTAAGAGTCTAAGACTGATATTCTGCTGATAGCCAGCTGCTGTGTGATCGTTCCCACCTGAAAATTGTCAGATTTCTTCAAAATCTTTTCCGTATTTTTTTGTTAAAACCGTGACCTCCGATAGCCGTGGTTTTTATCTGGGGTGTGTGTGCTACAATGGCTGTGGACGTGTTGATGGACAAGTTTTGCCAGAGTGTGGCGACGACGCTAGCTATGGCCGAAACTATGAGAAACAACATGCGGTCGTCCCGTAAACGAAAGCGACTGTCTGACGATGCCTCGCTGCTGCGACTGGACGGATCGGAGTTTCTCCGCGGTCTGCAGGAAGCCCGTCACGACTTCTGCGACGTGTCGTTGCGGGGAGCCGCGGATCCGACGCAGACGGACGTTCCGTGGATTGCCTGTCATCGCCACGTGCTGATGGCACGCAGTCCCTGGTTCCGTCGCATGCTGCGCTCCCAGATGAAGGAATCCCAGCAGGACACCATCCAGCTGCACAACATTCCCCATGACATTTTAGAGCAGTAAGAAAGACCATAAACCATACCTCCTGATTAGAACATTTTTAAAACAAAAAACTATGTACACCAATCAGTACATGTTAGAACACACACTGAAACGGAAAGTCTCGAAATCTGGTGTATTGCCATTAAAACTGTACCATGGTACAAAAAAGCCTGCATGGGTACAACTAATGAAAATCATTTAAATCCTACACCTTAAAAAGCAGCAGAATCGCTAGTGTTCTGTATTTTAAAATCTGGGGTAGGGTATAGTGCATATTGTGATCTTACTTTAGTTTGTCGTCGGCGCAACTACAAATTTTAGTTTTACTAGGCTTTTTATTTCTTGACGTAGGGCTCTCGTACTTCTCAAATCTCAGGCTAGATGTCTTCTTATGTTTTCTTATTTTTCATTCTTAGAATAAGCAGAAGGCTGAGTATGGGTTCTGAGGTTGCGCTGGCTACAGGCTGTAAGGTTCGAGCGTGGTACATTTGCAATGGGCATAGTGAATACACAGCATTTTCCACATTTGTCAAGTTTTCACTCCCAAAATTAAGTTTGACATGGTGTTGTTACATGAAAGAAATGCTTGTGTTTTTGACATGGAAGAAAAAGTTTTAAAAAAATCGTCGTTCCTGATCATAGATGTACCGTACGTATATTTTGGCCCTGTTGGAGTGTTGACACGCTGTCGTTGCAGACTGATCAACTACATGTATTCGTGTGAGATCACCGTGGACGCCAGCAACGCACTGGGCCTGCTGCAGGCGGCCGATTTCCTGGAGCTGGGACAAATTGTGGAGGTGTGCAAGGCCTTCCTGCGGGAGAACATCGACCTGGCCAACTGCCTGACCATCTACTGCGGGGCGCAGCAGCTGCCCTTCGCGGACTTGACCGCGCCCTGTCGAGCCTTTGCGCTGGAGCACTTTGCCAGTCTCTGCTACGCGGCGGAATTTCTCGACCTGGATGCTAATGAGGTAACAGAAACAGAAGTAGTTCAATTTTTTGTACGGCTGATATTAATCGAAGCGCGCTTTTTTTTGGCAGATTTGTCAGCTGATCGCCTCCGATGAGCTGAACGTGGAGAAGGAAGAGCAAGTGGTCGACGCTGTCCTGCGTTGGCTGGAACATTCGTCGGACACGCGAATGCCCCATGTGACGGAGATGGCGCGCCACATTCGGGTGCCTTTGCTGGCCGCCGGCTATTTGGCTTCCCTTCCCGATTCTCCTGTTGGTCAACAATTGCGGGCGGCCGTCTTATCGACAGGCGAAAGCACACGCGCGCTCCGCAGCTCTTACCGTATGCCTTAATTATTTTCCATTGGTTAGCCATTTGGCAGCATCCAGTACACACTTCACATAAGTCTGCGCAGATTTTCCTACTTAAAATGATCGAATTTAAACACTGGAAAAAGCATCCAAAACCGCTAATGTCATTAGTGATCCTAGGACGTGCGTTAAGTGTACCCAAAACAGCCGCTGATGTCCATTGCAGTGTCGGAGATGGTGTGTCTGTGGGGCTACAACACGTACAGTAAGGGCAAACAGTCCGGCTTCGCCGCCACCCTCTACCGTATTGATCCGCCGACATCCAGCCGCTGGAGCGTGGGGTGCGCCACGCCGCCTAAGAGCTGGAGCGGTCCGGCGGTGTACGCCGTGCAGGAGGGTCGTTTGCGGGTTTACGTCTTGGCGGACGTGGAAGAAGCCGGCGACCCGTGTCAGCTGCACGTGTACGACGCTGGCACAAACGAGTGGACGGAACTGGGGACGTTTCCCGTCCCGGAGGCCATCCTGACTTCTGTCGACGACCGGCTGTACTTGTTGGGCGGCGGCCGGGTACACGCCTACGACGCCGAGCAGCGCCAGTTAACCGCGCGGGCGAGAATCCCTGTTAAGCGGTTGAACAGCGCGATCGTGGCGTGTGGAGGCCGGCTGTACATGTTCGGTGGGAAGATGTTGTCGTCCCGTACCGATACGTACCAAGCGACCGCATCTGCGTACTGCTACGATCCAGCCAGCGATGCGTGGAAGAAGCTGGCGCCAATGCCGACCGCGCGCTCGCATTGCCGGGCTTGCGTCGGCCACGATGGTCGCATCTACGTTACAGGTAAGTTCCACCTTTTGTCGATTTTGTTTGCCACATCGCAACAATCAGACAATCAGATCTTGCAAGAAAAAGGCTTTTCAGGCCTATGTTTTTATACGTTATTTTTTATGTTTTCTTGTGCCGTTTATCTAAACAGCGTTAGCAAAACGTCCGTGTTTAGCAGATAGGGTGATAGTTCAGTAAGTATTCATTCAGCAACCTGTCGATCATAGAGTTGCCTGTCGGGTAAAAAATATTTCCGGGTAAAACATGAAGGCGTCAGCGAGTTGTAGGTCATTAATGTAAGAGGAGAATCCTCTGTACACACAGCAGCCGCCCATCCGCCGCCTACCTGGTTGGCTCAAGCTCAAGCACAAATATCTAGTTGATCTTCGCCAACATCGGTGATGGCACAGTGGCTGTGCTACGTGGATCACACTCGGTATCCAGCGGTTCGATTCCGCTCCATCGCCATTTTGCGAAATTTCCTCAACAGACAGGACTTCATCTGACCGCCCTCCCTCGCTGAGATCCCCACGGACAGCCGACTTATGGCTGACTCTGTGATAGTAAATTGTCGGTGTGCCGATTGATATTCGCGGTTAACGCAGTAATGTTGTCGATCTAGGTGGTTATATCGGTGGTGATTTCAACCAGACGATCGACTGTGTGGAGGCGTACGACGTCCAGACGAATCAGTGGCAGTCGAAGAGTAAGTACCACCGGTTCTTATCAGAATCTCGTTGCCTGACTGGGACGTACTGCTGTCTTAGGAGCCATGATTGTGGCGCGAGCGCAACATGGGCTGGTGCGACTGCAGGAGCAGTTGTACGCGGTGGGCGGCTTTACCACGCACGCCCTCGGACGCCTGCCGACGGAGTGCTATGACTCGGCGACCGACACCTGGTCGGAGTGCGCGCTGCAGTTGCCGTTCGAGCAGTGCTACATGGACTGCGCCGCCGTGCAGCGCCACATCGCCAAGAAGTGCATGCAGCGCACTGACAACGCCGAGGTGCGTGACTAGGGGCGGATGGCTGAAATTGATTCGACCACGTTCCTTCGCGCACTAATTCTCCTGCTTCCGGGGAAGCTGGTCTCTGCTAACGGATTTTGGTGTTGTCTAATGTAACGAATTCGAATGACTACACTGTGCTCACCGGGTACGCAGAAAACGGCTATCCGGCGGCTATAACTCAGTTTAACGGTGTCAGGTTGCTGCAGTTGCTCATTTTAACGATGATTTTAACAACGATTCCTATTCTACTGCACGCGGTATTTTTTGTTGTAGCTCAAGCCTCAAGCTACAGTTACTGCTTGAAACTATTATTCGTTTAGGCTTTTCGCAATGTTAAAAATTTTCAACATAATTGTAGGTGTCAGTTGTGCTTTTTTTTCGTGCAATCTGACCAATTGGCCATCTTCATTGAAAATCAACATTTCAAGGCGTACCGGACCTACAGTCACCCAGTGCGTAGTTGTAAAAAATTCGAACCGGTGAAAAGCTTTCGCATACGATACAAGCAATAATACAAGAAACAACACACTAATAAAAAAGGAAATCTAAAATAATTGTAGGAAGGAACGATAATTATCCAGAATTGCATCGGTCACTGGAGAGGCAGTGTGCACGTGGACATGACCAACTGCGGCACCGCCTCCAACGAGCGCTCCGGATGGCGCACGGAGAAATGGTACGCCATCATTCCGCGGCGCACGAAGCCCTGCCGACACTCCTCGCAGAAGTACGGAAACTCCGTGTAGTGCTTCAGTTTTTGCGGAGGAACATACGCCGCTCTCTTTTCCTTTTCTCCACTTCCCTGTCCGCTTCCTTCGGGCTGGGATTTCTTCCGCCGATGGGCTGGGATTTCTCTTTCTTCCTTGTGCACTAAACGGCGATGGTTGCACAAACTGCGTTTGGACGAGAAGGCTTTCCCGCAGTCACAGACCAGATTGCGTGGCGCGGCCCCGTGACTTTCCTTCGTGTGTCTGTACCACAAAGTATAATTGGCGAACTCTTTACCGCAAATCGTGCACGTCTGCCCCCCTTCGCCATGTCGCCGTACGTGCGTCTGGAAACTGCGGAAGCTCGTTGCGGCGCTGATGTTCACCTTTTGGTTGCAGGTGCCGCATGTCACCGTCACGCCGTCCGTGGAATGGTCCTGGAGCACGTGCGCGTGCAAGAGTTTCGTTTGATCGAACTTCTCGTTGCAGAACATGCAGTTCATATGGAAACGTCCAAGATGAAACTGTCAAGCACAAAAAACTTAGAATTTTTAAACATCGAAATCAGTAATAGCCTTATACATATTAAGGGAAGTGACCCGGTACTTAGCACTAAATTCGTGTACAAAATTACATCCACGGGAACTATCGTTTTCTTCCAGACACTTTTTGGAATTGCTTAATGACATTGTGTAGCCTACTAGGCAAATACGGAGTTATGAAGGTGATAAAAATCCGAAAATTTAAATGCCGCCAGGCGTACCAAAAGTTTTATCGTACACCGATCTCCTTCATTTTGCAAGTAAACCCACACATATTGCATTTCCAAGTTGTATTTGGATAGATAGTCGCTGCTTAAAAAACTCTTTCGTCCGTTTCTGGCCGGTGGAAGCTGCTATGTGTAATGGGAACAATCCCTGACCAGGATAGCATAGAGTAAGTGTTTCTGTTGAAAATTTTGTAATTGGTACTAATCTTTAATTTCCAAATTCCAATAGAGCGATAACAATATCAAGATTCAGTTACACTTGAACAAAACAGCACTTTCCACGGTACCCATAACAGAAGCGGCATTTCCTCTTTGAATAGCTAAAGAAATGTACTTAGTTTGTATCCGGAATATAGCACTTACTAAAGGCATGCCTGTTAGTAAGCCCACTGCCCACACAGCCATGCACGAAGACCGTTTTTACACGGATAATTAAAGACTTCCATGATTTTTTTCAAATTTCAAAATTTTTCCTTTCTTTCGAAAAAATTTTAAAAATAGCTCGAACAGTGGATCGGTGGAAGAACGATCTTCATGGTTTTGCGCATTGGGGTGCAGAATTTGATACACCTGAATGCATTTATTAACTCTTTATAATTTCCTTACACCCATAATTCCGCAACCGGATATGACGCACGTATTCGAATTTTGGTACCCAATAGGATAGTAACGATTTTGGCTACTTTTCCAGTGTTTAACGTTTTGCCATTTTATTAAGTGGAAATGTGCGCAGGCGTATTACGCCTGCACCGGCTGATGCGAAATAAAGTTTAATGAAGTACTAATTCAGTTGCTGACCTTCAGATGACGCGCATGGGCGTTTTTCTTGCTGAATCGCTTATGGCATGTCGGGCACTCGTAGGGCTTGTCGGCATCCGACCAGAGGTGCAGCCGCTGGATGTGGCTTTCCAAACGCTCCAGTGAAACGAACGTCCGACCGCAACGTGGACACTTGTGCAGATCTTTCCGCACATGCCGCTCATCGACGTGCGCAATCAGTTCCTTTAAACTGACTGCGGAAAACATACACGCCGGACACTGGCGGGTGTTTCCTTCTATATCGTCTTCAGTCTCCTCATGCTGCCGGCAGTGGAGGTTACGGGTCGCACGCGTGACAAACTGCAGATCACAGATTTTGCATTCGCGACACGAGACGAAAGTCTCGCTGTGACGCGTGGTTTTCGATGGTTGTTTATTCCGGTGCGGAAGCAACCGAGGTTGGCCTAATTGATGCCGTTCCTCCACGTGATCCACGAGCGATGTCCAGTTCACCGCTCGGTAGTCACATTCCGGACAGATAATGGGATGCTGGTTAGTGTCCCACTCGGCCCGCAACGCGCTCTTTTGATGGCGTAGCGCGTGGAGGCTTTTGGTGATGGGAAAATGGAAGCGCAGTGCACAACCGGCACGCCGGCATTGTGTGCGTGTCTTGGAGCGGGCCGTATCCGCCTGCTGACACGGCCAAATGCGATGGTGGAGGGTCTTTTTGGCGGCAGCATCGAGAACTGGATGGAGACGTCCGCCAACGGCATTGACACTCGTGTATGGACCATCCAGGTCTACAGAAAAAAACGTCTGTTTCCCCTCGGGTTAAAGGGCAAATTATTTAAGGGAAAGGTTACCGAAATCGGCACATGGTAACAAATTTGTGTGCACGAACGAAAATTTTTAAATATGGACGACTTCGTACTGTCAGAGCAGAAGGCTCTGCACTCAGGACAGCCGCCCCATCCGCCGTCTACCTGGTTGCCTCAAGCTTAAGCACAGATATCTTGATCTCAGCCAACAACGGCTATGGCACAGTGGCTGTGCTACGTGGATCCCACTCGGTAGCCAGCGGTTCGATTCCTCTCCGTCGCCATTTTTCAGAATTTCCTCAACAGGAAATTCTTTTGGACTTCATCTGGCCGCCCTGTCCTCCCTTCGCTGAGATACCCACGGACAGCCGTACTTATGGTAGCCTCTGACTGTACACGTTAAATTTTTCGATGCATGATACGCTTTTATTAATAATCATCGCATAGTTATGGTAATAAAGAAATAAACACGCTATATTAATCACAACAGCAAAACTTCATTTAAACTATCCACTCCGTCCATCGTGCCAAGGATAGATGCTGCATTTCCGCGCTGAATCTCCAACGATAGTCGTTGACGCAAAAGCATGCATGTGTTTTTGCTTGTATCCACAATATCCCGCCGTATCCCACGGTATGCTCTACGTCTCCCTCACGTATCCTTGCAGTTTTTTTACTTCTGTTCGATTGTTGCCGTATTCCTCCGTATCTCTGCAGTATCCTCTATGTATCCCACATGAACCCCGTTAAAATCCTAAGAAACCTAACACTAAAAAAACATAATAACGGGATACATGGAGGATACGCAAAGGATACTGCGGGATACGCTAATTAAAAAGAATGACCACATTAACAACATTTGTAATACGTGCAGAATGCACAAGTGATGTAGCCAGTATCCCACCGTATCCCACAGTATCCTTTACCTATCCTCCATGTATCCTGCTGAATGCAGGTTTAAGGGTCGTCAGTAACTGCAGTATCCCAACGTATCTTAACGTATTCTTACTGTATCCGTCGAGTATCCGGATAACACTTACATCTGGGATGCACAGACTGCAGGATACTGCAGTATCTAAAACAATGTAGAAAATTTGGGGGATACATGAAGGATACGCTTCGGAATACGGTGGGATACTGTGGATACAAGTACAACTAAAAGCACATGCCGGAAGAAATTTACCGTGCACTAACCGTGCCATAGGTGAAAAATTTCGCTTTCGCGCACTCCCGTAACATTTTTTGCAGTCCTTTATGACATTATGTTGCCAAATAGTTTGTATACATTCGCGCGAAAATCGTTTATGCGAGCGACATTAGGCTGGGAAGTTACCGGAAACAAAATTCAAAAGGCACAAAGATATACCAAACGTCTCATTATCAACCGATCTCCTTCGAATTTTACATAAAAACGCAAATTACCAAAACGATCCTTATTCCACCGAACCAGGTTTCAATTTAGGTTGTGAATTTTAAAACTTTTCAAAAGTTACTTTTCAATTTTCCTCTCAACTTGCCAACCGGCGGTTGCGCGCATACCCGGTGATCATAAAGGATACTTTTGCGACAGTCTTGCAGGAAAAGTGTCCTGCATGGTATAAAGGAACGCTTTTGTAGTTTAGAATGATTTATCCTAATTCATCAGCCAAATTTTGATGCAAACAGCAAAGAGGACCAATTTTGGGAGGAAAATACGAACAACGTGGACATTTTTAAACAATCTAAAGATAAAATTTGTATTACGTTGCCATGTGGAATGGCTGCACGTGCTTTCAAAGACCGGAAGTTCTTGAATTTCGTTTTTTTCTAAATCAGTTTTAAGTCAGGAGGTTTGCCGGAACCAGAACTAACGTACAATTAGCTTGTGGAAAGGTTTGAAATGAAGAATTACATACAAACTCCAGGGAAGTATGATTTCAAACTCACCTCCAGATAAATGCCGTTTCATCCGCCACGCTTCGGCTAACGTGATCCGCCGGGCTTCCGTTCGCTGCAGGTACTCATTGGCCCGCTTCCAGTCATCTTCCAGCGCGTCGATCTTACAGAAAACACTGCTCACGCTTCGCACGTCCCCGCCAAACTGCTCCGCCAGGCACGCCGCAATATCCTTCACAAAGTCGGTCTTCCACACATTCTTGCCGCGCAAATCGGCTGACGCTCCAATCTTTCCCGCGCTCTGCCACCGGGCGTAGTTATCCACATTGTCCAGCCACTCCACCAGCCATGTTCCTTCCGCTTCCGTCCATCGACGATACGGCTGATCCCGTTTTCGTTCAGCAGATTTTGCGTGGCTGGGAGTGTCGCAAATTGCCGTGTCATCCGCTCTCATCGTCTCAGTCCCGTCGCCACTAACGCCCGCTTCAATCGCCTCACTCGTAAACGTCGGTCCTTGAAAATCCGAGGGAGAGCGTGATTTTTGAGCCAGATCGTTCCCTGCTGCATCCAATGCTGAGACAACGCCGACGTGTGCATTGCGGGACATTTTCTTCTTAGGATTCTTAGTTTTCTTAGCAGCGGCACTGGGACTGGCTGAAATCCTTTTCGTGCCGCCGTATTGTTTTCTGGTTTGCCTAGCGGAATCCGCCGCGCTAATCCATTTCTCGGCGTTGTCGGGGTCTTCCACCCACCGCCGAAGACAGCGCACTTCTTCCATGGACCACTTCCGGTTTTCTATCCGCTTTGTCGTTCGTTTCATCCTTTCCGTTTCAGCATCGGGCACGTTATCTGTAGACCAGGGCGTTAGAGGACAATATTTAACTCTAAAATCTGTAATTCTACAGACCCGCGTCTGCCTGGTTGGTGTTATCCGGTAGATGCGCAGCCATATCCACGACACTGCAATCCGCAGCGGTATTTTCTGCATTATTATTAAACGTTTCACAGTCCTCCATCGCGTTGCTATCATTGTCCAGTACGAAATCTAAACAGCCACCCAAAATAACGCCAACTGAAAATAATAACGAATGCTCTCCTTAACGCTCACTTTACCATCATGAGCGAAGGATGTCGCCGGTGAGTGGTTCTCTTTGCCCAGCATCCGCGCATACTGTTGCGAATAGCCAAAGCACAGTTCCACACCGGGAGGAATGTGGGCGGTGGTGGCCAGGAACACGGCGCCCTGCCGACAGAAAGCCACGAGATTCGGCTGTTCATCTTCGTCGACCGGTCGGACAAATTTAATCCAGTTGCACCGATCATCGCACTGCAGATCGAACGCGACCAGACCCCCGTGGCGGTCGCGCAGCCCGAAGCGCTGATCGATGGTGGAGTGGCCTGCCAAGGCAGCCACCACCGGGCCGAACACGCTCGGGTGTCGGATCGCTGTGCGGGCAAAAACTCCTGAGGAAAAAACGCATACCCAGTAGAACTACGTCAAACGAAGGTTGGGGGAAGTCTGTTTACCGGGTCGGCCTTCGTTCTGCTGGAAGTAGAGAGGTGCCGGCAGACTAGCGTAGGCTTTGGCCACCGTTGGGGTGTCGCTGATCAGTTGTGAATGCAGCAGGCACGGTTCATCACGCGGATGCTGGCAACATCCTACAATTGAACTGCGACTGAAAGACATTTTAACAGGGAATATAAAAAGTTAATGCGCAGATACTCAGTGTCGATGGTATGGGATTTTTTCATTTGCTCTCCATATTTTTGATCTGTGTTAAAATATTTTTTCTCTTACTGTGCCGACCAGACGTCGAAGTACTTCGACGGAGCAGACAACCCGATTAACGGGACTAGTCACTAGTCCCGTTAATCGGGTTGTCTACTCCTGATGGGAAAATAATAATAATATAAGTAATAATAATTAATAGTAATAATGATTAAACGTGTTCATTACTCCGGAATTTCTCTCCGCAAAGATCGCTACATTAACCATATCAGAATGGCTCCATGTTGCATTACTCGGCTAACCCTGGCTTAGCGTCGTACCTGTGCAATTTCCCTCTACTCCCAGGGCGGTTGACCATTGCGCAGCATACTTCGTTATAGCTAAAAGAATGTACAAGTTTCAACAATGGCCTATTGATAATTCAGGCATCGCTATGAAATATAAATCATAATAATCTTGTATGGCGCAGCTCTCGCTTTCCAGAATTATAAACGCTTCAGTTGTCAACACACCCACAACAATAACTACATGTAATTCATTAGCGATCTCGTCGAGTACCATTTTCGTTGAGGGTGCTGCGACCGTGCGAAGTATAACCATTAAGCATACAACGCGACGTTATCGTATATTTACTTCCTGAAGTACTAATAGTGTGAAAGATTAAAGAAATTTCGATTATGTTCGACGCAGAAGCGGAAGACGATGATAGCCATTGATAGGCAATACTCAAATAGGCAGATAGAGTTTTACAGACTCCTGACAACTCAGTGAACTCACCGTCGTCGTTGACATCCACCACAGACTGCATGCCAAGTCTATCCAACGATATAAGGTTGCTTGAACAACAACTGGTGCAGAATGCTGGATATGGAGCATATTAAATCTAAAGTTGACAATGCAGTTGCATTTTTCGGATCCCATTGATAGGAACAAAAAATAATGTAAAAATACAAATATCGGTGCAGATCAAACTGAAGGGTGCAAAATGAGAGTGAGCTGTGAGAACAGTGTAAAACACTGAAAAAATCAGCCGCTAAGGCATCCGTCACCGGGGCGCAGTTTACAAAACAATCGTGCAACCGGAAGTGAAGAGCAGCTAGCAGTAAGATGGCATGGCGGTTAATCATTTTCTTACTAAGAAATCAGAAATGATTAACGCGTTATTTTTTGGCCACGACCGAATAAACATGATCAAATTTGATTATCTACCTGGTTTAGTGTGATATTTACCTGCGTAGCTGGGTAGAACCCGAACATGGTGGCTGGGGATAAGATCGGTTCCGTATTCAACGAGCTAGTGCGTTCGCAGTTGTGTGATTCCATCTAGAGCTAGATCTGCGAAGGATCGCCCTACCTGTGAGCAAAACAGCACACCTGCACTCGTTCACTGCGGAATGCTGCTGTCCCGAGACTATACGTGCTCGTGGAACTCGGTGGACGTCCTGGTGGACGGTCTGCTCCAGCACGGCAAGATCGTCAACCTGGCGGAGGGCGGCCTGATCATCGATTTCGGATGCGCCGCGCAGCGCTCGCACTTCATCGCCTACGGAACGGTGTTCCGCTGTCAGTCCCGGGTGGCCAGCCTGGGAGCCTGGCAGGCCCTGCAGGGGGACTTGCAGGTGCTGCTGCGTCCGCGTCAGAACGCGGCCATGAGCTGGTATCCGGGGAAGGTGGCCCGGGGCTGCGTCTTTGGCAAGACGGCCTTCGTGCAAGTGCAGCTGCCGCACGGCACCGTCGAGGAGGTGGTCCGCTGGGAGCAGGTGCGCCCAGCGCTGCCGGAGGGCGGTTATGAGTTGTTGCGGATGGTGATGCCCAATGAGTTTGTCATCCGCGCTTGTCGGCTGCCCGTCGCCTACTGGTCGGAGGCAACCCCGCAGCTCGGGGAGATCCTACAGTGCCGAGTTAACCAACGCTATAAGGTCCTGTGCACGGCCGTGCTCAGCCAGACCCTGCTCTACCTCCAGGCGCATGAACACGTTCCCTTAACGGCTGAGCAACTGGTGAGTACGAAGTACGAGCTTGTCCTGTAATTTCTAATGTGTTAGCGCGGGCTGCGCAGCAAGAAATTTAAGTAATTCACGGGTGACGCCAAACTATTGCTCCCACCACTGGCTAATGCATGCCAAATATCGATTTAAATTATGCTTTCAATTTACGTAAATTATAAAATGTTAGCGTTTCTCTTTTATGATCATCTAAAGTCTTTTGGGGATGGATTTGCCATTGTGGTACTTGGCGTCATAGGCGCATATAGTAGATGTCATATGCGAATGTAACCGTCCAAAACGACTGGTCGTTTCAGCCTCTAAACCGTCCGAAACGACCGCGGGCCGCCAAAGCGACCGCCATAAATTTTGCCCTACCAGTTTTTTTCGCTCTTTCGGTCGTATTCGTATCCGGTCGTTTCTGCCGGAGTGTAATTCGTTTCCGGTCGTTTCGGACGGTTTGGAGGCTGGAACGACCGGCGGTCGTCTCAGACGACCGGTCGCTTTGGACGGTTACATAAGGAAAAGGCACGAAGCAACGCGAATCTACATTTTTATTCGACACCAGTCAGCTTACAGATCAGATGGGCTAGCACAGGTTTACACAATTTAAAATTATCAGAATTTAAACATTGAAAAAACAATCTTCTTGAAAGAATCGAAAAAACTTTTAACGAATAGGTAGTGGAATCCTAGTCACTGACGAATTGCGGTTCTTTTCAGCAAGAGCAATGCGATGCGGCTAAGAAAACCCAGGCGGGGGTCGGCTCGTTACCGGCATTGCAATCGCGCACGTGTTCAGCCAGGAAGACGCGAAAGACTGCCGCCAATTGCCGTTTGAGTCTGCCGTTACCGCCGGAGCTGCTGGTGGCGATCTTCCAGACGTTGGATTCTGTCGAGCGCGTCCGCTGTCGCCGTGTATGTGCCGCATGGAACACCCTTCTCACCACCGAGGCCTACTTTCCCGACGTGCGCGTCTCCGCTGACTATGCCGTGTATGGAGAGGAGATTTCTCCAACGACGGCGCCTACTGGGTGCTGGCCGGTTTATTCAAGTGCCTGACCCGTGCCACTAGGGTAGCGGTGGTTAGCCACCTAGACACCGAAGACATCCAGCACGTCGCGGCACCGATTAGCCGCGTATGCAACGCCAACCGCAAGATCCCGCTGGTGGCGTTCTGTGCGTGTGATCTGGGTAGTAAGGGAGAGTTTGCCAGTAAGGTCTTGGGCAATTTGGCGAACCTGGCCTGGAAGTGTTCCTGTGAGAGGATGGTGTGGAAGAAATGCCGCATCGTGTCCCACACCCAGAACCTGGATGTAGCGCAGCACGCGTTCCGCATCCAGTCGCGGACAGACGCGGAGAAGCAGCTATTGGATTACTTTGAGCAACTTCAGGAGGCCAAGAAGCCGCATGATATGCAGGCCTTGTCAAAATGGATCGCCGACTGCGTGGCCCAACAGCGGTACGATGAGATTAAAAACATCTTATGGGTAAATTCTTGTGGTGCCCAGTTGTTTCAAAATGGGGGGTTACCAGCACCTTATTTAACCGTTGAATGTTTTGGCGCTTTTAGGTGCTTAACACTTATCAGAGTCCGGACCCGCGCCCGACCACCCAGTATCGCGGCGTAAAGTGGACGATGTCCAACATCGTCGATCTGGATGTCAGCATGCTGACCACGCTGACTACGATGTTCCTGAACGAGCACCGCATCGGATCCAAACGTGAATAGCTGACAGATGCCATTTGCGAACAACTCCGGCCAAAACTAGGATGGTCGGATAATTGTCCTTTATTGCTCTTCTGCGCCACATGCATGTCGGCTGCAGTTTCCGATTCGTTCAACACGTGATCCCCACTTTTAGCACTGTTTTTCTGGCCGAGCGGATAAGATGGCTGGTTTCTCGAATGACAGAATGCATTTGCTTTGCTTTTGTAACGCTGTAATGACACTTTTGTAACGCTGTGCTACCCACACAAGAATAGCTGCATTCCAGACCAAACGGCTTTCATTTTGCATTTTTTGAAATTGCGAACGTTGCCGCTGATGCTGCGATGGAAACAGTACCGAAATTCCCTGTACTGGCTGTACATGAAAGATGCTAACAGCCGAACCAAGGACACTGCAAAACACTAGAAATACTTAGTCCAACCAGCCGATGTGGACTGCAGTCTGCAGACATGGGCATCGAATACCCGGCTGCCGGATAATGAATGATACGGTAGAATAAGTATAGGAAAATGAAAAGTTGAAAGCTCTTGCGATAAGGATTTCGTTAAGAACAATTTTAAAAACGTTTCCGATAGGATTAGTCTGTAGTATCGCGTACTCTGTAGTACTCTGTAGTATCGCGATGCGGCCCGGAGCGAGAAAACTAGAAGCAAGCAAAAGTAAGTCAAGCAAGCCGCATACGTCTACCGCCAAGAGTGGTACACACAGTTAAAATTCACCAGCATCACAACTGAACAGAAAATTTATTTTACTTTAGCAACACCACTGACTTTAGCACTTAGGCTGACTTAGCAGGGAATTTGTATGTTTGCGAGTAGTCTGATTATTGATTAAGATTTCAGAGGAAGGCCCATGTTTTTAAATCGTCTACTTTCAGATTCTTCTCACTTGTGTGATTAACGGGTAGCTGCAAATTGGTGACCGCGCGATGCTGTTTTACGGGAACAGAAAGAACTCGGTGCACGCGTGGAACGGCGTCGACGTCCTTGTCCAGGGCCAGCTGCAGCACGGCAACGTCGTCAACGTGGCGGATCAGGGCCTGATCATTGATTTCCAGTGCGCCACACAGCGCGCCCAGTTTATCGAGTACGGGCGTATTTTCCGCTACAATCCGCCCGCGACAAGCAGGCCACAGGACGCCATCCAGGCACTGCTGCCCCGCCACCGGGACGGTGCGTGGATCTGGTACCCCGCGCGAATCATCCACGGTGTCTGCAAGGCCTTTGACGATATTATGGAACTTGTGGAAGTGCAAGGGCCGCACGGGGTTGTCCGGGAGCTGCTGTCGTGGCAGCAGGTGCGTGTAACCCCCACGGGTGTCACTTTGGAGAATTGGCGCGTGAAGCCCAATGATTTCGTGGTGCGTTCCTGTCCGCTGTCGGCCGACTACTCGTCCGCCGACCTGCCGCTGCTCGGAAAGACTTTCGACAACGAATTAGCCGGGTTGAAGGAAGTATTGTACGTCACTCGGGTCAGACAGACATTTTTCTATCTGCAGAAGGAAGAATGCCCTCCTTTGCAGGCCAGCGACGTGGTAAGTACTATTCTCAACAAACTCAGCCAGTCTCGGTTTTAAATTTTTATGTATGCGTTGAAACATTTACGTCGTCGTGAAAGCACATCGGTTATTTTGCACCATCATGACACCAAACGAGGCATTTGCAGCACAATACTAATAGTGCAACGAGTTTTAAAAGATGCTGATTGTGTGTGTGTGGTGAAAATTAAAATGGAAAAGCTTGTGATGAAATTAAAAAGGTTTTCAAAAACACTCAGAAGAGCTCGAGCTATAAAGTCGGATTTTTTGTTTGATTCCTGCTGGAATATCAGTGTCTCTGATCTAAGTATATCCATTTTTATGCATTTTCTCCCGTTTGTCTTCTTTTATGAATAAGAGCTATTTTTTAGGGACAGCCCTTGTTTACCCGTATTGTAGACTATCGGATATAGGAAGTACTATCTATGACATCCGATGCTTCGCGAATGACGATTATGATGACGTTTACGGTAATTCATTCTCACAGGATAACGTTTTGTGCATGGCGCAAACGATGGCCATTAACTGCGGGCCAGAGGGTGTCAAAAAGCGCCGAGTCGCCGAGTGTCTACCTTTACCCGCTGAACTATTACGGGAGATCTTCAAGGCGCTGGACTCCATCGAGCGAATCCGTTGTCGTCGTGTCTGCCACCTGTGGAACACAATCCTCACCACGGAAGCCGACTTCCCCGATGTGCGCGTGTCCTGCAGTGCGGACTATGGACATGCGCTGTGTGCCATGATCGGCATGCACTGGATGGTGGCGGGTTTGTTAAAGTGCCTGACTAGCGCCACCCGGGTGCTAGTCCTGCGCAATCTCGAACTGGACGCCTGCGTTCAACTGCTGGCGGTCGTTCAGTATGTCCTTAACGGCAGCCGTCTGCCGACGCTGATCTTCAGCAACTGCCATTTGGGGGATACAGCTCGGAGTTTCGTATCTCGGAGTGTTAAGGACATTGCTGAGATGGCAGCGGGCGTTGCTGTGAATTATGGGTGTGAGCGGTGGGTGTGGAAGAATTGCCGTATGTGGAATCGGTATCTGACGGCCGATGTGGCGTCCAGTCCAGAGAGACCCTGATCATGCAGTTGTGGGATGTCTTCGAGAAGAATCTCGTTCTGGAGAAGCCGCTGGATCGGCCGGCCTTGGCGGAAATGATTGCTGCTTTAAATCCTTCCGCTGGAAGGCAGGAGGCGGACGATGTCCGCGACATTCTGTATGTAAGTCGGCAGTTATATTTTTCCTTCAGTATAGATACTCTCCACTGGTGTACTGTAGCTTTTATTGGGTTATTCGCATTAACATAGGTTAAACGCAGAATTACGCATTCCATCATTTCAGCACATAGTACACTTCGTCGAACCTTTTACCGATAGGCGATACAGAACGATTCCTGAACACAAGGAGCGTTACCTTGCATTCAAGCAACACTGATTCTCTGCTTCAGAAATTAAGCGGACCGTTTCACCTGCGTCCTCTCAAACAGCAACTTACATTTCGCTTTTTTACCCCGCGCATCCATTCTTTCAAAACCAAAGCAGAGAAATTGAAATTATCGCGAAAATATCAGAGCAGTTGAAATTATCGCTCGCCAATGGTTACAAGATCGACCGCTTGACGTTGAGGGCATAACATAATATGTAAGAAAAACGAGGAAAGCATAAGAAATCTAGCGAGCATAAAAACTGCAGAACATCAGAAACTGAACAACATAAGAAGGAATAAAAAACCCAAGAAACCTAAGACAACTGAAAATTTACAGAACAATTAACATTTTCAGAAAGCTGGGAACAGCAAAATTCCAGAAAAATTTACCAAAACCTCTGCCACCGAAAAAAAGCTTTTGACGTTTCAGCAAATGTCAGATCGACATCGTATTGGTTTGGCTTAGTGATGACCAACGAATTTTCGTTCAAAAAAGCTATCGGTCACCGTTACGGCTGAGACGTGACCGGTATTCTTACGACGGTGCATTTATCTAGGGTCTGCATGCGTACCAGAGTGCGGATCCGCGTCTCACCACGCTGTACCGCGGCCGGGAGTGGACTGTGCAGTCCATCGGTGAGGTGGATGTGGATGAGCTGACCCCACTGACGGTGGCGTTTCTGGGCAGAAAAAGCCAGAAAATCAACCTAAGAATAACATAAGAAAATTGTTTTACTGCTGCTACGGTTTGGCGTCACTTTTTATGAGACAAGATATACATAGTTTGAAGCCTCTTGTTGTACAATGTTGTACTAGTATGGATAGAGCTAGCAGATTTTGCTCACTGCGGACCAAATTGAAAGGAAGATGAGATGTGCACATCGCCTTTAAATCAGCTGAACGGCAATAAAGTTAAGAATTCTTCTTATTTGATACTCATGCATTACTTGGTTTAATACGTATTATTCACCATTAAAGTTAGTCTTTGATTTCCATTGAAAGGCATGGCTTTTCTCTGTGTAGAAACGAAAATCCTAAGGCGATCGTAACCTCTGATGCTTGTACAATGTAACGTTCGATATCGTATACGATCGTACCAAGGTATTTCCTGTTGTTACAGTCTTTGTACTACAGAGCTGTACTACTAGCAAAGGTACGGCCAGCGCTGAAAGTCTGAATCTGATTCTGATTCTGAATGCTAAAAGTCTGAGTCTGAATACTGAAAGTCTGATTCTGATTCTGAATGCTGAAAGTCTGAGTCTGAATATGGAAACTCTGATTCTGATTATGGGAATTCTGGATCTGAATACTAAAATTCTGAATGAGAATAAGAAGGTTCGGAACCTGGCCGGTGATGACCAAAGTCTCTGTAATAAACCATAACAGGCGAGCGAGTCTTCAGCGTACATGGATTCTGCTATTACAAAACTGTAAGTCAGACTATCCAGTAGCGATAATTGATAAACATAAGAAACAATAAAAACGGCGACAGCAAATCTGTAGAAGTACTCTGTATTGTACATACGAGTATTTGTGCTGCAGATCTTAATACAGCACAATAATATTTAATGCAGACGTTCTTCTTGATATGTTTCTTCCAGCTAGTCTATGCCAGACCTGGCTAATGGTTATTACGGGGGATTGTGTTGGATTTTGTTATCTTCGAATGTCGGCATTATTCTCTATGCTATTATGGGAACTGTTTTGGAATTTATGGTCTTACAAATGTGCGACACAGTCGGCAACGACCTCTGTGTTATTATGTGGGATTGTTTTGTGTTCGTTCGGTTGATCAGCCGCGAGCAGTGATTGTAGAAAGAGGCGTAATTAGAAATATTGAAGCAGACTATCAAAAAGCTGACTATCAAACAAAATTTTTGCTGCTGTAAGTACCGAGTAAGAACAACGATTTCCTATCAGTCGACTCATTTCTACTTCAAAAAATAACTAAAATGCAGTACTTACAAAAGTCTGAAATAACAACAAATCTTAAAAACCGGAAGGAATTATTTTAAGGAGGAAGATAAATCAACCATGAGACCTGCAAGTCACCCATAAACCAACCCGCTCTAACAATAACGATAACGTAAACTGTCAAGCATACCGAACAGGATGGTGGTCATCACCGGCCAGGTTCCGAGCCTTTTTATTCTCATTCAGAATTTTAGTACTGTAGAGTAACCCTGCACTTGACAGCTTTTTTTACAGCTCAGAGAGACGTACGCTGTACGAACACATTCACCATTCACGTGTGCTGCCTGTGACTAAGCAGGCAGCACATGTGAGTGCACTGCACTCAGTGCAGTGCAGTCGGCTCTGAGCCAACTGAACGTTTGCCAGTACTACAGCGTCGTACAGCTCATATACTTTGTAGTACGAAAAGCTGTAAAGTGCAGGGTTACTCTACACTCAGTCTACAGTACTTATTCAGATTCAGAATTCCCGTAATCAGAATCAGAGTTTCCGTATTCAGACTCAGACTTTTAGCATTCAGAATCAGAATCAGACTTTCAGTATTCAGACTCAGACTTTTAGCATTCAGAATCAGAATCAGATTCAGACTTTCAGCGCAGGCCCAAAGGGACTGCTACTACGAGCTCGTTTTCAGCGCGGAAGTGCGCCCTACGCGCTCGGCCGGCGATTGCCCGCAGGTGACGGCGGGGGCCATTGACGTCCGCCCCTTTCCGTGTCATAACCACTACAATTTCTATACATTTTAAAGTTCTTCTAGAAAATACGAAAAAAAATTTTGATGTGTAAAGTAGGGTTGAGTCAGCGGTCTTTTACCTTATTGTTGCTTCTGTTGCACGAGTTTTGTTTACAAAACTTTCGAAAAATAATACGTTATGCGTGCCACTTCCCCTAATTTGAAACAGGGGTTCTTTTGCCGCAAAACAGCTTACGGAACTCAACAAAGGTTGATCTAGAAAATACAACTAACAATAAGGAACTACAAGATGTACTTACATACTTCGCGAAAACTGACCCACTGCATATATATAAAGCGAAAAAATGGGATCTTGTCGGGGATAAAAATGAAACCACGACTACAGAGTACGTTTCTGGGAATACAGTTTGAGGAAGAGAATCGTTAATGTCATTGCTGCTCCATAAAACTGAGCGTGAAGAAACAGGACGATGGAAGCCGGCGCCGGCTTATTAATAATTTGGATCAATCCCGTTACAGAGCGCCGCCGCCGTCACGCTGGTCAACTTGTGCACATCCAGACTGGCTATTTCCGACATCCGGCGCCACTGCCGGTTCCGGTAGTGGGTGGACACCCGCGGATCCACGCTCTGGTAATTCTCCAGGCCCTACAGTTAAGCCATAAATTAACTTTCTCCGTATAAAAATTAACAAAAATCAATATTAAATTAAATTAAATAATTAATTTTTTAAATTTTTAATAAAAGGGTTATTTTTAATTTTGATTGTGCAAAGATGGCCGTAGTGTTATGAATTACGACTGTTATATCGCGATATAAACATCAGTAAAGAAAAAGAGTAATTAATTAGTTGCTCTGTATAAAAATTAATTTCTTCGTATAAATAAATTCTCCGCCCTGCACTCACCAGGGCACATACCGAAGCTACAAATTCAGAAAAATCTCATTTTTTGCAGAAAGGTAGAACAACTATGCAGGATGCTTAAAAAAATACCGTGCTGTAGCCAATAGGAAATGCACCGCATCATACGCTGTGAGACTGATAACGTTTATACTGGACAATCCGGCAGCGAAGGCAGTTAACTCGTTCGAAATATGTATTTGTTTATGCTGTACTTTATATTTATCTGTACTTTTTCATTAGAAACGATTTACTTTGATTTGTGTAAGCAATTTTTCGATTATTACGGAGAACTTGTAAGTCATAACACACAGAAGCATTGCCAATTCAGCCGCCTGCGAAATGGTTTTGTAAAAGGTGCAACCCATGCTTTAACTTTTTTTAGTCGAGACATATCGGTACGCGCGTGTTACCTAGGATTTGTCGAAAAATTCCTAACACAAATTCAAATACACAATTAAAGTAAACAGCAGTGAAAACCGGTCCTGCATCTAAAGTACATCACCAGATTCTGGTGATATTTCCTATAGGCTACAGCACAGTGTAGGAATAACTTTTAAATTTTGTTTTGGCCACGCCCATTGGCCATGGCAAATGAAATAGTTTTTTTAAACATCCTACATAGTTGTTCTACCTTTCTGTCAAAAATGAGATTTTTCTGAATTTACAGCCTCGGTATGTGCCCAGGTCAGTATCACGTGAACTTAAACCGGGGATTTGTTGACCACTACTTTGTTGACGACACTTTCCTAAACTACAATCTGCTTTATCGACAAGTAATTGAAACGACAGCTCAATGATCGACAAGTTGCTGAATGATAATTTGCTGAACATCGACATTTTCCTGACGGCTTTAAGATAGTAAGGCCTGGGTTCGATTCCTAGGTTGGGTAACTTCTATCCATAAAATTAAACCAAAAAAAGTCAAAAATTTTCAAAAATAACCAAATGATTTACCAATAGCCTGTTAAAGCCACAGTTAATGAAGTTTGACAACTATAGCTGCAATAATATTAATAATGTACCAACAGAAGAACTTCCTAATTAACGTACTACCAAGGTAAAACGCTGCTGGTAAAAGTAACAGAAACGTGGAAGTGTGCGATGGACGACGGTGATGTGATTGCAGTAGCCTTTCTTGACCTTAAGAAAGCCTTCGACTCGGTTAACCACCAGCGACTAATGCTAATGTTGGAAAAAGCCGGCATTAATGGCAATGCACTGCATTGGTTTTACTCCTATCTCACTGGCCGTCAGCAGCGTGTGAAGACAAACAGAAGGACCTCGAAGTACTTACCGGTGATTTCCGGTGTACCGCAAGGTACTGTGCTTGGTCCAATTTTGTTCATCATCTACCTGAATGATTTGTTACGAAACAGCGGCATTTGGTTTGAAATCGACGCGTTCGCCGATGATACCATCGTTTATTGCCGCGGGAAAACAAAAGCTATAGCGGCTGAGAAATTGAATACCGCATTGGAGGAAGTCGCAACCTGGTTTAATGACAACAGTCTGGCACTGAACGTGAAAAAATGCGCCGCAATGTTTATATGCATCAATACCAAATCCAAAGAAAGTGACCCAGTGGTAATGCTGAACGGTCAAGCGCTGCCCGTAAAACAGCATGTGACGTACCTGGGAGTTGAAGTCGACCATCAGCTGAAATGGGATAAGCAGTTCCAGAAAGTGAAACGAAACATTAATTTCGGTATCCAGAAGATCAAGCGAGTCAGAACCGGTCTCAGCATCCCTCAGCGAGCCACCCTTCACCACGCCTTCGTCGAGCCGTACATTGATTACTGTGCACTGGCTTGGTCCACGGCGTCTTCGGGAGAGCAGAAGGAGCTGAAGAAACGGCAAGACGCGGCCTTGCGGACCATCACCGGCGGCAGTTGTCGGATAACACCGCAACTGTACGAGCAGCTGGGCATCACACCAGCGACCGACCGATGGCGGCAAAAGGAAGCGGTATGGCTGTACAAGATACGTAACCGGAGCAGTTTTAATGTGCCGTCTTACATGACCAACCTGCTGCCATTCAAGGAAACGAGTGCGAGGTACGAGCTTCGCCGTACAGAGCGGATCGATGCCACCACGCGGCTGTGCATCGGGAAGACAACCCTGAAGATGAGGCTGAAACAGTTGTATGATAAAATAACGGGAAAAATGTTTACTAAAATTGTTGATGGTAAGACTAAAAAACTACGTGGGGAAGAGGTGTTCGGTTGTGGTTCTATTGAACTTTACCTGGCTACTTTACGTTCAAATAATCTGCTGTAGTATTATGTGACCTCGACTGTTCTACCATCTGAATGTTGTTATGTATTTGTTATTTTTCTATTATTATCTGACCAGACTAGCGAGTGCCTCAGGGTTTGTCTGCTCTTGAATAAACTAAACTAAACTAAGTACTTACTATAGTGTGAGGAGGACTGGCAACCAACCGTTTGACGTCATCACTCTCGCATACGCGGGAGGGCGGCTGCCATGGTGACAGATGCGCGTTTTTCACCGTTTTTGTCAGTTTTCTCAGCCGATTTCTCTTCTCTTCTAGTTTTAGCCCCCGAAATAAAAGTTTCTATATTCAGTATGATCTTTTAAAAATATCAGAAAGCTTTTGATGAGAAAGAAACTTCAGAATATCTATTCATTCATTCATTCATTCATGTATCACGAGCAGACAACCCGTTTAACAGGACCTCAATGTCTGGTCGGTAAAAAATGCAGCGAAAAATTACAGAAGAGATTATTTAGACAGATCAATAGTTTTCAGAGCGAACTTGAAAAAGCTAACACCGCTAACATTGAGTATCTGTGAATTAACTTTTTGAATCCGCTCAAAAACGTTCTTTAACCGCATGGCCAGCGTGCTTTCTCCGATTTTCTGTTTCGCTCTGGCTTGGATTCGTTTCGGCTTCCTGAGATTGTACTGCGGTGACAGATCCTTGAAGTCGATCAGTTCAGCCAGGTAGGGCGGAAGTTTGTACACTTCATGGTTGTAGATCTTATACAACCAAACGGCTTCCGACTGCTTCCAACGGTCAAATACCGGCAGGATGCGCAATCGCTGATACAGCTCGGGGGTTACCCGCTCCTTGTAGTCAGTAATGGCTTGCAGTGCTTTCCGTTGGGCTCTGGTCAACTTGTCGCGGAGAGTCGAAGATGCTGGTGACCACGTATCCGACCCGTAGTCGAAATGTGGTTGCACACAGGCATGGTAAAGACTCCTGCGCTGTGACATGTCCAGGCCTTCTTTCGTTGCGTTTATCATTGCGATGCCGTAATTAACTTTCCGCAGTTCATGGCTGAAATGTTCCTCCCACTTCAGATTCTGATCGATGTAAATCCCGAGGTATTTTACGCATGTTTCCGCTTCCAGCTGGTGACCGTTCATCTTTACTGTAGGCGCAGGCTGGTTTTTCCTTGATTGTGGACAAATGTAAATAAGTTTACATTTCTTCTCGTTTACGCACAGGGTGTTCGCTGCAAACCAAGTGGTCGCCTTATCAACTTGAATGCCAAGATCCAAAGCTGCCTCCGCGTGGGTGGTGCCGACACCATATAGCACGGTGTCATCCGCAAAGCATTCGGCGTCGAGTCCGGGTAGCATGTCGTTTGTGTACAGCGTGTAGAGCACCGGAGCCAGACGTGTTCCCTGTGGCACACCCGATTGCACTGGCAGCCAGTCTGACACATTCCGGATCATCTTAACGCGCTGTTTTCGGGAAGTCAGGTAGCTGTGAAACCATTTTAGCGCGCCACCACGGATGCCAATCGCGTGTAACTTTTCAATCATTTTCGCATGGGAAACAGAATCGAATGCCTTTTTAAGGTCAATTAGGCATAAAGCTGTAATTTTCCCAGCATCCATTGTTTTCCTCCACTTTTCGGACAGTTTCAACAGTAAGGTTTCGCACGAGTGTCCGTCCCGGAATCAGGATTGCTTCTCAGAAAGCACATTCCCGGTCTTCAAAACGGCTACAAGCTGGTTTTGTACAATTTTCTCGAAAGCTTTCGATATGTTGCACACCAGTGAAATTGGTCTGAAATCATCCAACTGTCGTGCATTGGTCTGCTTCGGTATGGCGACTACGTCAGCGCTTTTGAAAATCGTTGGGTACACTCCTGCTTTCAGGGATGCGTTAATCATGATCGTCAGCGGTTTAGCAAGATACTGATTCACGCCTGCCAGGATTTTGCTAGGCATCCCGCAGGGACCAGCGCTCTTCTTCCGTTTTGCCATCCCTTTCAGCAAAAGTGCAACAACGTCAACTGATACATCGGTAAACATGCAAAGCAATGGGTTAGTGTCACCGGGACAACGAAAGGGACAACAAAGTCTGTGTGATTATGGTAAGCATCAGCACAGCCGTGCTTTGTGTAAGCGACAGTGATGACGTAGTCGACCGTTGCACAGCAGTTCCCAGTCCTTCTAGCTATAGTAAGTTCCTGGTACTACGTTGAGGGGTTTGCGGCACATCCTCACCTTGATGAGTTCAGTTTTAATTTGCTTACGGCGCTTATTGCTGATGCAATTCGCGATCCAGTGCGCCAAGGCCGGCAAATCCGGCAATTTCTTGAGCGCCAGGTACTTCTCGAAGAGATCCCACAGCTGCGCCTCCAAAACAGCATCCGGCTGGACGCTGAGAGCTTGCCGCGAAATAACCGCCTGTAAATGGTGATCGTAGATGCGGCACTGCTTCCACACCACCCGCTCGGCATCCGCCCACAGCTTCACCATATCCTTCAGATATGCACCGATATATTCACCGCTCCAATCATCGCCCCACTCGCAGCGGTAGAACACCAGCGTCGGGAGACGGGCGGCCTGCCGCGTGTGGCCAATTAAAGCAGCGGCGCGCAGGGATTGAGGGAAATGTAGATGTAGGACAGCTACCGTCCGCGTGCGGCAGGTCACGCATTTCAGCAGGCAGGCCACCACCCACTGGTTCTCATCCAGCTCGTCCGGCGCATCGGCTTTGCGTCCGGATACGCGGACTTCCGGGAAGTAGGCTTCGGTCGTGAGAAGCCGGTTCCACAGTTCACTGACACGGCGGCAGCGAACGCGCCCGACGGAGTCCAGCGAGCGGAACACCTCAAGTAACAGCTCAACGGGCAGCGGGAGGTTTCTTCGGGGAAGGGCATCGGTTTTACGCTTTTTATTTGGCGGAAGCGCGACTTCGTTGGATAATGGCTGTACCGGAAAGATAGGGTCCAAATCATTCTTCGTTGCAGCATAAACTTTGCACTGCAGTAAAAGAGAAACTGCGATGAATTTCGCCCTTTTCTACTCTGCCGCAGACATAAGAAAAGCTAGAGTAAGAAACCTAAGAAAACCTAAGACAATTTAAGAAAACCTAGGAAAACCTAAGAAAACCTAAGACAACCTAAGGAAACGTAAGGAAACCTAGGAAAACCTAAGAAAACCCAGGAAAACCTAAGACAACCTAAGGAAACCTAAGAAAATCTAGGAAAACCTAACTAAGGAAACCTAAGGAAACCTAAGGAAACCTAAGAAAACCTAAGAAAACCTAAGAAAACCTAAGACAACCTAAGAAAACCTAAGAAAACCTAAAACACGGACGCCTACCAGTGTTTCGGCTTCCAGGGGGGTGGCTGTGCGACACTGTAGATACAGCAGATACTGACTGAACTCTCCCGTACACACTACGTCTTCATCTTCATGCACGCCGTTTTGGAAGTGCCAGGTGAGATGAGGCGATGCTTCTGCCGCATAACCATCTGGCAAGGGGCAGCAGCGGATAACGAAGTGCTTGTCCACGATCCGTCGCTGCGCCAAATCCTCCTCCGACAGCGGCACCCGCACTTGTTGGCAGAGCAGCAGTTCCCTGATGATCCTGCCGGGTAACTGCACATCCACCAACACCGCGTCATCCTGGCAGTAATCGTCCAGGGCGACAATCGTTCCTGGATACCATATCCAGGGGGCGCCGGGAGCAGCGCGCAGGAGGACCTGGGCTTTTTCCCCTGCCGACCAGTGCGACGGGGGCCTGTGTTTCACGTTGGGGTGGTCCGTGGCCTGGCGGCACTCGAAGACATTCCCGTAGCGGATAAACTCGGCGCGGCAACCGAAATTCACAAACAACCCGTCGTCTATCACGTTCATGACGTGCCCGTGCTGCAGCTGGCCGTCGACGAGGACGTCCACGCCGTTCCAAGCGCACACGTCATAACGGTAGACCAACATTCTGCAGGTTCGTGTTGGTTCGCTGGTTTACTCATGGCGCCACATGCAGAAGGAAATCCCGACCGTGGTATAAAAAAAAAGATGGCATAAAGGAGGATGTCTCTAATTAGCAGTGTGTCTTCGTAAATTCCGGTATTGTAAAAATTAATCGGGAAACAAATTAATCTGGAAATGGTAATGAAACAGGAGAAGCAAACCTTGCAAAAGTCGAACTTTGATATTTTATGATGAATGAATCGACGAGAGAAAAATTTCCAATAACTCATAACTGCGCAGCCGCAGCCTTGGGCGGTAGCAGTAATTGCAGATGTCAGTTGTGTCGATCGCCGTTCAGGAGTCAGCATAACTGTTGTTTACAGGTGCCACGGCGTATACTGTAACCACCTATGACTGCGGTCAGGCATGGAAGTGTCCTTATTAATGGATTTTCTGCTAAAATATTATCAGTGTCTGATCTTGAATTATCCATTTTTATTTGTGTTTTTCTCCCATTTATCCCTTTTTATGAATAGATGCTGTTATGCTGTTATTTAGGGACACCCCATGTTTCCCCATGTCGTTGATTTATAGGATTGAGGTCTACCCCCATGACACTGGTGCAGACTGACTGTTAAAGCGAATTTCAACAATTTTTTCTCTAAGTGATAATATTTTATTACTACTTCAGTACGTGGAATAATTCGTACCTGCAAGAAAAACTTGGTCAGCTTATGTTTGGGGCTCAAACTTTGTGGCGGCGTTTTGGTTCAGTTGTCAAAGCGTACAGTGTACAGGGAAGATATCGCGAGCATCCAGGCGCCGATTTTTGATCTGCGCCGGGATCGCAACCGCCGTAGACGTTGTTTCGCACGTCACCAATTACAGGAATTACGCAGTGCGCCAAAATGGGAACTACGCATACGCTACGTATCACGTACAGATTGGCGCATGGAAGGCGCACTATATTACGGGGGCCACTAACTGACCGCAGATTTTACCGAGCACACTACTCTTTTTTATCATGCATGTGTCTTTCCCTTTGTAGACCTTGGTTTTCTGTTAATTTTCATGTGCCACCCGTATTTGCAGACAGCACGGTTTGCAAACGCGCCTCAATTAAAAATTACGGTAGGAGCACGCGTTGTTATGGAAGTGAAGTGAAGTTTATTCTCCTTGCAACGGAGCGGTTGCCCTCTCTAGGCTTCAGACAGTAGTGAAAGAAACAGAGTGTAACAACAATATCGCAAAATGGCTACAGGAAAACATGAAGGTCACTTCAAGCTATACAAAACCCACAGGAACACAGTTTAGTTTAGTTTAGTTTAGTGTCCTTCGCTACGAGGCAGCGCCTCCTTTTAAGCTTAGACAAAGATGACATGGGATACATTCAGGTTAACACTACATTCATTATTACGTCTAAAGTAACAACGGTAAAACAACCGTTTCCAAGTTGGATTAGTACACCCAGTCACGCACAAAAACGTTTGAAGGCCAAATTTCAGGCCGTAAGATTTTATCAGCATCATCCTTGAATATTCCAATCCGAGCAAACGTAGCAGTGCGTCTGTCTCCACGAGGAGGAACAAACACACTGACAAATCTGGTGGCAATGCCCTCATTTTTGAGCTGGCTGGCGATAAAGCCGTTGTATTCCTGAACGCTGGCAAAATTTGAATTCTCAAGGCGAGGAATTCCTCTCACACAAAAATCAGCGTGGGGCTTCCGCATACATTGCAGGGTTTTTCCCAATTGGTTGCGCGGTTCCACATTCGTGCCGTCGGCGCTCTGACTTCCACGAATGGATTTCGGTGGTCGTTTGGCCACAACACCCGCATACGATGCAGGTGCAGATGGGCAAGGTCCAGGTGAAATATTCGATCTGGGTTCGGCATGGGGATCTTGGACAGGCGTACGGGTTTTTGTCGCACCCAGTCGGGGTACTACAACTCTTCGGGGTTTCCACAGCGTGCCTTTTTCCTCCAGTTTCGTTCTTTTGTCGTCAACATTTCTCCAGTTTCCAGGAGAGTATCCAAAATTTTCATCGACAACACGCTCCACAACAGGATCCAGTTCTAAATTAGGAAGGCCGCTTCCATGCATAGGGGTATCACCACCAGCGACGAGTCCGCATTCCATCACATAAACCCGTTCACACAGTTCCTGTACCCCGTTATTGAATTCAACGAATTCATGGGGCGACAATAGATTGCCGATAGCAGGCTCAACTGATGGAGTTGGAAACGTTGTCAATGAAGCGATTTTCAGTTGGTTCTTCATGGCCACGTTCTCGACAGTCAGCTCTTCTATTTTTGATTCCAAGCACTTTACATGGTCAACAAACTTTCTAAACTCAGGTATAAATTTTTCCCAGTTAACGTTTGAGCCAGAAAAGTCGAAAGAAAAGTCGCAAGCGCTCATGTTTCCGAAATATTCCAATTTTGAAAGGTTCTGTTAATAATGGAGCAACCACGACTTCCCGGCTACTCGAAGGCTACTGCTTCCAACCGCCCTCGGGCGGCGTGGCGGCGCAGATCAGAAATCACAGACTTCTCGACATATCATGCTGGTGTACACTAAAGATGATGTACGCTATCGGCGTGGAACGTCGTGGAGGTCCTCGTCAACGGTCTGATGCAGCGCGGCGAGGTGATCAACGTGGTGGAAGGGGGTCTCATCGTGGACTTTGACTGCACCGCACGGCGCTCGCAGTTCGTCGAATACGCACACCTCTTTCACGACGGCGGCGACGAACTGCGGGACGGGGAGCAGAACGTGCGGGCAGCGCCTCGCAGGCGCCGTGTCAAGAGGGATGATTTCGTCATTCGCTGTTATCCGCTGCCCCGTGCCTACTGGTCCGAAGATTCGCGTACATCCACGGGAACTTTCGCTGTCGCGCACTCCCAAACACTGTTTTGCATTGCTTTATGGTATTTTGTAGTCGAAAGAACTGTATACATAGTTGTGAAATCCGTTTGCGCGCGCAACATCCGGTTGCAGAGTTACGAGGGCAACAAAATTACAAAAAGGTTGAATGCTTTCTGGTGTAGCAAAAGTCTCTTATGGACCGATCCCTTTCAAATTTTGCATGTCAATGCACATAACTATGAAGATGGTTTTGGCACGGATCGAGACTTCTGCGATTTTATGCGAATTTTAAAATGAATTTAAAAATTGTTAAAATTCATTTTAAAATTTGGAAAACATGCTAGAACACTGATTGAACTTCAATCATTATTTTGATTCGTACATATCTCGGCAATAACCAGACACTACTGCTTCAAAATAATGCTAGGAAGTAACACCAAAGCTGCCAATACCGTCTTTAACGTCATCATGCGGTAATATACGTGCAAATATACTCGTACTTGCAATAATAATACGGCTCTATACTTGTATTAACAGGGTGTAATAATCCCTTTCTTTAATATTCCCTCCCTCTTTTTGACCCTGGCCCATTCCTTGGTTTCCCCTGTGAGTCAAAAATTTCCGAATGAACTGTAGATGACAGCATCGATAGAAACCGTTCCTTGCAGGAAAAGCAGTACAAAGGTCACGGCGCTCTTCCCCGATCGCCGGCTGTGCTGCGTGAAACAGCGACCAGCCCACCTCGGAAACGGCGCAAAGTAGAAAGGCAGAATATGCCCCTGTCGGCGGAGCTGCTGGTGGAGGTCTTCCAGTCCCTGGATTCCATCGAGCGCCTACGCTGTCGGCGTGTCTGCCACGTGTGGAACGCTCTCCTCACCACGGAGTCCCACTTCCCCGATGTGCGGGTGTCCGGAGTAAAGAACTGTTACTGCGAAGTGCCGGTACACGAAAACGGCCTGTACTGGGTGATGGCCTGCTTGCTGAAATGCCTGCAGCCGACCTCCCGAAGGGCGGTGGTCATTCACGTGCACCGGAACAGGATCAGCAACGTCGCCGCGCCGCTGCATCACATCTTCGCCGGGAGGCGCCGGCTGCCGACGTTGCTGTTCTTTGATTGCGAGTTCGGGTAAGCACGTGATTCGGCCCGGGCAGTGATGAGCTACGCGGCTAGCCTGGCTATGGACTGCCGGTGACGGAGAGATCAGTACGATAGGAATAATTACCTAATAATCTATCCTACCGACCTAATTCAACGACAGAGTATGAGCTGATATCTCAATGTGGCATAGCTAAGTCTACGAATCTACGCGAAGCGAGAACTGCATCTCCGACGATAATTTAATTCTAAACTCCGAAACTGCCAAAACTCGTAATGAGAGAACTGATCCCCAAAGTACTGCCACTCGCGGACTTATATAGACACGGCGCATCCGTGTAGAAACAACCAAAAGTAAATCCGAACACAAAAAAGAACGATCGAGAAGGTACAGCGAATAACAGAAAGTACGAGTAAAGCCGTCACTTTACGTACGTATCGCTACGGTACTGCTATATTCCGTCACCCCCGCAAACGGCTTTTGGGGAACCCAAGACAAAAAGAACAGAAAAGCAAAAACAGGAATAAAAACTAAACACAAATGAGTTCTCATGCTCACGATTGGGCAAGGCGGGCAAATCCATCCACCGTCCAAGAACGGTTGACTGATCCTCCTGCACGGGTGACTGAATGAGATGGAAGGTGAGGAGAGGATCCTGGACGGGATTGAGATTGAGCGTAGGCAGGATAGTGAGAAGGTTGGCAGTACGGCAGTCGGAGATCGGAGTACAAACAGGAAAACGTCGGAACGCAATAAATGAAGATTTTTTGGTGGCAGAGTTGAATTTAATGTAAATCGCCGATGAAAAATCAATGAAGAAAAAACATCCGCGATGGAGAAAATAAAAATAAAATAAAACACCACTTTGAAATTGCGAAATACCAGCAAACGCATGTATTCAGTCAGCATTGCAACTCGAGGCGGTTACCAATGCGACTTTCTTAGCAGACGTACAATCACCGAAAGACGGCATCAAAAAGGATATCTTCGGGAATAATATCCCAAAAAATTAACAGGCGCATTTCGCAGTTTGTCCAAACTTTCGGACTTGTCTTCATACATTATTTCGACTTTTTGACCATCAACGTCAATTATCGCGTTCTTCAAATCGGCTAATGTCTGATTCGCAAATTCAGGTTTTCTGCAATCATTTGAGTCGATGCGTCAACCAGTCGCATTATACTCGTACTGAACCGATTTTGTAGTGCACGGGCTTTCTCTCTGCGACTGAGCAAGAGAATTTCAACTTTTTTAATTTGC